ACCTGAACCAGGCTCCTTGCATCCGGAAGGCAGCTGAACTCTTCTCTCAGTGGATGGAATCCAATGGAAAATTAAATATTCCGACAGATGTTTTACAGATTGTGTTTTCTGTGCGTGCTCGGACAACAGAAGGATGGAATTACCTTTTGGAGCAATATGAATTGTCAATGTCAGGTGCTGAAAAAAACAAAATTCTGTATGCATTGTCAACAAGCAAGCATCAAGAAAAGTCAATTGAACTAGGAATGGAAGGAAAGGTTATCAAGACACAGGACTTGGCAGTTCTCCTTCAAGCAATTGCCAGAAATCCAAAGGGGCAGCAATTAGCCTGGAGTTTTGTAAGAGAAAATTGGACCCATTTCCTTCAGAAATTCGACTTGAGCTCATTTGCCATGAGAATAATCATCTCTGGTACCACATCCCACTTTTCTTCCAAGGATGAATTGGAAGAGGTGAAACTATTTTTTGAATCTCTTAAGGCTCAAGGATCACATCTGGATATTTTTCAAATTGTTCTGGAAACCATAACGAAAAATATTAAATGGCTGGAGAAGAATCTTCCCACTCTGAGGACTTGGCTGCTGGTTAACATTTAAATGGTCAATAGAAAGAGTCCATCAAACACAGGCTATGTCTGCACGAAGGGAAACAGTAGCATCTACAAAGCTCGTCAGAGTTGTGGATATTTTGTCTAACCAGTAAGAAGCCTCAAGAAATCAGCGTGGAGCTGCCTGCTCTGTTATTGTCTCCATCTGACAGATAAACAATGCTGGAGTAGGGAAAGACCAGTTCAGTAGCCTACTGAAAAGTAAACTCCTGAATAATAGATATATGTGAAGATAAGTTCAGATAGAGATAACACTGTAATCACTTAGCCTCAATGCGACCTTCTCCATTGCCTCACACTATGCCACTATTTTGCTGCTTTAATATTTTTTTAACCTTGCTTAGTGTCCTGAAGTTTGCCCAACCAGTTTTACCTCCAAGGAAAATTAGCCAATTCATAAAGAAAATTAACTTTCATTTGCATTCTTCCATCTCCTTATTCTCCCTCACCTGCAACTCAGCCTGAACTAAATAGTTTATTTAATTTTACCATTCACATGAAGGATAAGGATCAGGAAACCAGAGACTTTGTCACCAAACCTCAGATTATTAGAAACTAGATGTTGATATTTATCAAGGAAGTCCGTAGGGCATTTTGGCTTAAGCCTCACATCCATGAAGAACCTCTTGGTACACTTTTGAGGTCATTTCAAATGAATTTGCAGTCACAGAGGTACAGGAAAGAAGAAACTCACCATACCACTTTAATCCATACACTATTGCCTTTTTTTTTTTAAAACAAAATCTCAATCTGTCACCCTGGCTAGAGTGCAGTGGCATCATCATAGCTCACTACAACCTCAAACTCCTGGGCTGAAGGGATCTTCCTGCCTCAGCCTCCCAGAATGTTAGGATTACAGGTGTGAGCCACCACAACTGGGCACACTATTACATTTTTAATAAATCTTTTGAAAGTTGCAGAATTAGATTACATTGTATACCTGGTGTTAAATTGTGGCTTAATGTAAATATTTAAATGTATCACCATACTTTGCAACACAACTTTAGCATTTCTTCATATTTTAAGGGAACTCCATTTTTTTTTTTTAAGGGAACCTCTGGATCTCTGAAAGCCCCTACTAGATGCTTCTCTTAATTGTTTGAATAAGGTAGTTTGGAATAAATAAAGAAAAGACCACTCTACAAACAGTTATTAATAATAAACTTAACTAATTCATGGACCCACATTTGAATCGGTATGAAAATATAAATAAGTAGAAAGACTTGAATCAATACATAGATGACTGATTTATTTGAATTATTAAGGGAAGCTGGGGGTGTCAGGGTAGGAGAAGTTGTTATCCAACCTACTTTGAAGTGATATCATGAAAGTCAATTATATAATAGCTTCCATAGACCTTTCTTTGGTGCCCCAGTCAGAGACAGGATACAGTTCAGAAGGGCCA